CTTTCTTTCTTTCTTTCTTTCTTTCTTTCTTTCTTTCTTTCTTTCTTCCTTCCTTCCTTCCTTCCTTCCTTCCTTCCTTCCTTCCTTCCTTCCTTCCTTCCTTCCTTCCTTCCTTCTTCTTCTCTTTCTGTCCTTTCTATCTCATTCCTTCTTTCTTTCTCTATTTTGCTTCCTCTCTTTCTTCTTTTCTCATTTGTCTCTTCCTTTCCTGTCCTCAACTTTCTTGGCGTTTTCAAAGACTTTTAAACTCCCAGTCTCTTTGACAACATTATTTTCCCTGAAAGGTGGTGAAACTTTCTCTGCTGGGTAAATCAAACCCTGACTGTATCTGATTTTCTTTTTTTAAAGTGATTTGTTTTGTTTTTAATTGTGCTGTTCCTCTTTGAATATTTGTTGCAAACTGGGTTTGTTTCTGGGAAGGAAAAAAGTTGCAAAGAATGAGGTGTGAGCTGCTGTAGAGCAGTTTTGGCCTTTTTCTTACACACACACACACACACACACACACACACACACACAGATGGAATGGGTGAGTCTCCTTCCATCAGCCTTCAAAAGTTCATTCCCAGCACAATTTTCTTACCCACTTCCTTGTTTTGGGGTGGCACCGTTGCAAAACGTTGCTAGAATAACTAAAAACTGCTTATTCAGGGGGAAAAGAAGACTTAGGAACCAGCTGAACTTAAAAAAAAAATACTTGAAGTTTCTTTTATCTCTTTGTATAGTTATATAAATGCAAGGCTTATGGGGGGGGGTGTACAGAGCTGTTACTGAGCTAGAAAAAAAAGCAAACCCCCCCTCCCAAAAAAAAAAACCCTCAGCTTTTCAAGGTTTGGAGCAAAGCAGGGGAACCGTGCCAGGATCCCGCCAAGATGCTTTCCCCAAGAGAACAAATGTGAATTCATGAGCGAAAGAATTAAACATGGTGGTCCTTTCCTTCGCTGTAGCTGCGGATGGAGAGACGAGCAGAGGGATCTCGGGACCGGAAAGGACGAGATCTCTCTCTTGGACCGGGGAGATTACCGCGGTCCGTAGCTTCTCCGTAGAGAGAGGTATGGATCCCCACCACCCGTGGGAGGCAAAGCACGGCTTGGTGTGCAGTGTGGCATTAACCAGCGACTGCTTCTAAGCGGCTGATGGGGAGGCTGGCATCTGACTGGCATCCCTGGGGTGGGTTGGAAATAACCCTTTATGGAAAGCCGACACAGGGAGCCATTTCGTTTGAATGCAGTTGTGTGGACGGAAGGGGCCTGGCTCACTGCCGGACAGTCCTTTGCGAACAATTTAGGTTAGGGGGATTTGAAAAAGGGGGTGTTTTTTTTAGGGGGAGGGGGGTTGAGCACAGAAAGGCCGAGCTTTTTGTGAACCAGAGGCGAAACACGTTGAGTTCCCTTTTGTTCCGTCCTAATCCTTACTGGCGGTTGCGTCTGGATAGTGGACTCTTTTTTTCTGCTAATCCAAGGGTCGATTACTAGAGAGTTAAGTAAGGATGAAGATCCTGCAAGCAAGATCTGTGCATTGAGAGGGGAACTTTTGCAAAGCCTCTCATCATCTGGCAGATCCCTTTGCTCGCAAGCCCCCGTTAACCAATTTTTTCTCTAAAACAAGAGAGAGAAAGTTTCCAATCGATTCACTTATTAATTCTCTCCCAGATTAATTTTCGAAGCAAACAGCAGGATGCTCAAGTGTTTCTTCTAGGAGAAAAAACAAACAAACCCAAAACAAATAATAGTGTTTTGGTGTCATTTCTATTTACACCCTGTTGTGTGTGTGTGTGTGTTTTTTCCCCCCACCGGTGGGCTTGTATTTGGCACTTCAATTCCCCCGGCCCTGTTTGCCAATTGCGAAGATCTGAAAAGTTGGAAATATACATATATATATTTTTTTCCTGGCAGCGTTTGTATGGACTGGGGTCTGCAAGAGTGATATGCCCAGTGGTTGTTGGTGTTTTTTTTTTTAAGATGGTCTTCCCCCCACAGGATGTTTTGGGAGACCCTTCCCCTCCCTCTCCTTTTAAGCTGTTTCCGCTCTGAGCCGCCTCCCCGATGGCAGCTCTCCCAAGTGCGCCCGGCAGCTGTTCCCAAAATTAGGGAAGGAAAGGTCAGCCTTGCCATCACTGGGCTATTCTTGTCGTCGACCCGCCCCGAGTGGCTCACGCGCTTCATTTCCCCCCCCCAATGCTGCCGGCTTGGATCTCCCCGGGGTCCTGCTGGTACCCGGGGCCCTTTTCAATGAGGATGGAGAGCCCCCGACTCAACTGAGTTTTTCGTCTTGAGTTTCGAGAAAGAGGAAGTTTTGGGGCTTGGTTGAATGACAGGAAGGGGAGAACTGCTCCCACGGATAAGATGTGGAGGAAACGGCCTCGGGGAAGAGCCAAGGATTATGTGATCGTTCACTTCTCTTCTTCCTCCTCCTCCTCTTCCTCGCGCTCAGGTAAGGCCAGCCAGCTGGCCCATTTCTCCCCCCCCCCCACCTGTGCTTGGGTGGTGGGTTTCTCTTTTGGGCTGCAGTCCGCTGCCAGCTTGGTGGCATCGCGTCCTGAGTGGCTTGTGGGTGCTTTATCTGCCTTGGCAAGGATTTCCTTTGTCATTGTGGGAAGTGAATTCATTTGCAGCCTGGCTGTTCTTTATTTTATTTTATCTTTCATTGATTTATATTTTTTCTTCTTCTGTGCAATAACAGTTTCTTTAAAACCTGGTTGGGGTAGGGCTGGCTGGCACACTTGGAGCAAGAATCAAAACCAAATCTCCCCCGCTCCCCATCCAGCACCCTTGAAGGCTCCTCCATCCCTCCCCAAAGAATGCAGCTTGGCTTACTTGCTAGAGTCGCTCGTTCCTCCTTTTGCTCCCTGCCAGGCAGCCCCTGATTTGGGTACCAAGTTAAGATGCTGCCTCTCTGTGTTTTCTTCGCAACCCCTTCCCAAAAATGCGGCTCTGTAAAAACGGTTCCGTTTTTTGTTGATTGCCTTTGTTGACTTCGCTTTGGAGATGCTGCCCATACAGCGTCTCCCACTGGCAGTGCCAACCGTGCCCAAGGGGACGGACTTTTGCTGAGTCACTTCGCGCCCATGGATTCGTCGGTGCTAGTAGAAGGGTCGTTTTGCAAAACTGAGACGCTTGCTTTCTTTTTTTTTTTTTTTTCCGTCTGGGACTTTGAAACGGTGCGCCAATGAATGCTGCTCAAGGAATGCAAAATGGCCAGACTAATAATAATAATACATTGGTATGTCGTTGGCTTGAATTTCCTTCTGATTTTGCCGGTTTCTCCAACACTCTGACGGTCTGATATTGAGGACTAGAAGCAAGGAGGCTTGTCCAGGGACGGGGATGTGTGCGATGTTGGAAGTGTGTTGTGACGCATCTCTGCTCGAGACTGTGACGTTTAATCCGTGTCGCTTCGTGTTGCTTTTGTGGATATTAACAGCGTTCATCAAATGCGCTAAGGCAGGGCTTTCCAGCCTTGGCTACTTTAAGGCTTGTGGACTTCAACTCCCAGAGTTCTACAGCCAGGAAAGATGTTGAAGAGTTGAAGTCCACAAGACTTCAAAGTGGCCAAGGTTGGAGTCGCTTTCATTTTTATTTTACCTGCTTTCGTTCCTCAGGGGACTCCGAAGAAGAAGATGTGGGATTCTTGGAGGTACCAGTTTCAGAGGCCAAACAGCTGCCGGAGTTGGGCCCGATGCCCGAAGGGTTAAGCTCACAGCAGGTTTGTTTAGGGGGTCCAACCTGAAATCTAAATTTTGTTGAACTGGTGTGATGACATGGGGTGTGGCACAAAGGTAACCCAGTCAGATAATCAGTAAGAGTCCCTTTATTAGCTTCAACTTTGCCCCCGATGTCCTGGTTACCTCTGGCTGGAGAAAAACTCTCCCAGGAAACAGCCTTGGGCTGCAGAGAATCAAGTCCAAAACGTGGTCAACAAAAACTGTAACTATGAGTTCAATCAAGGCAAGATGAGGTAATTAGGCTGGCAGAGTAAGAGAAGGAATTCCAGACGTGAAGGTATGGCAGTAATTCAACACAGTTGGGAAGACGCCAGGAACACAGATAGCCAAAGTCAACACAAGATAAAACTCACGTTTGCTCCCAGCAGCTGACGTACTCAGCATCCATCTCTTTTAAATTCTCATTCCCAGGTGTGGCTAATGAAGGGAATCAGGGCCCTTTCCTCCCCCGTAAGCCACACAACCCACGTTGCTCCGTTCCTCCCTGCGTGCCCTAGGATGAAGAGGGGATGGGCCTGGGTCTTCCTCTGAACTCCCTCTCCCTTGTTCTACCTCTTCCCCAGTTTCCTCCACAGCCAATGGAGCCACACTCCCACTCCCTGTCAGCTGTTCGTCTTCCTCCTCGGATTTAGACTCCGACAGGGGCATGACAACTGAGTTCTTTATTTGGGATTTTGGGCCTTCTTTTTGCAAAGGCCCCTATATCTGCTGCAAACCAACCCTCCAGGAGATGTTTGGGGTTTTGAGACAAACACTACCTGAGCTGGTGAATCCCTTCTTGTGGTGGGGAGTTCCACAAGCTGCCCCCATGGGCTTAATTCCACGGCTCTCTTCTTTTCTCCCAGGTCATACGACGTCACATCCTGGGCTCCATTGTGCAGAGCGAGAGGAGCTATGTGGACTCGCTGAGGCGCATTTTACAGGTATTTGGTCTTTTGGGTGGGGGGGGGTTCTCGAGAAGAGATGCTCTCTGGGTGCCCTTTGGGCCAATGGTGGGAAGCCGAATCTCTTGCCAATTCTGGCTTTGTAATACAGGTAGTCCTTGACTTACGACCACCGTTGAGCCCGGTATTTCTGTTCTTAAATGAGGCATTGGTTAAGTGAGCTTTGCCCCCCTTTTACAACCTTTCGTGCCACGGTTGTTAAGCGAATCACTGCTTCCCCCATTGACTTTGATCGCAAAAGAGGATCGCATGACTCCGTCATAAATATGAGTCAGTTGCCAAGCGGCTGCATTTTGATCATGTGACTATAAGTGCTCGTAAGTATGGTAAACGGTCCTTAGTCACCTTTTTCAATCCAGTTGCAACTTTGAACCTTGTAAAAGTGTAAATCAGGGACTACCTGTAGATGGATGGGTTATCAAAGGTGTTGTCAGGATTCTGGCAGTTACCCCATTTATGAGTCTGGAGCCAAACTTCCAAAACTTCAAAAGGTTTTATTGGGAGTTAACATGTCCGGCACTGCCTGGGTGTAGCCGACTCTGAGACACATCATTCATTGTCACCCTTGACCCTGGTTCCCCACCCCACCCCCTGGGTGTATCCTAATTCATATTCTCCAATGGGACACATCCATAGCCCAGAGTCATCCATCACGTTCTCCAATTAGAATTTTGCACAGCAGAAACTTCAGTCGCCTAGTTACTATCTTTGAAAAACTATTTATGGAATGCACTTTTGCTTTCCAAGCTGCCGCACTGCTCTTTCAAAAAAAAACCTTTCCCCCCTTCCCTTTCTGTTGGCAACTCTAAAAAGACCATAGAAATATTTTACGAGTTGACAGTTGTCTCCCGTCGTCTTCCAAACAGGATTATAGGAACCCCTTGATGGAGATGGAGCCCAAAGTCCTCAGTGCCAGGAAATGCCAAGTAGTCTTCTTCCGGGTCAAAGAGATCCTCCAATGCCACTCCATGTTCCAAATCGCCTTGTCTTCACGGGTGGTTGAGTGGGACTCCATGGAGAAGATTGGCGACCTTTTCGTGGCCTCGGTGAGCAGCGTTGAGACGTGGATATGGCCGCCCATCTCAAAGATGTAACTTCTAGAGGGAACCCTGGAAATGAATCTTGTGGGTCTCACTGTCCTGCATTTCTTTCTCCAAAGTTCTCCAAGTCCATGGTCTTGGATGTGTACAGTGAATACGTCAACAACTTCACCAGTGCCATGTCCTTAATCAAGAAGGCGTGCTTGACCAAACCAGCTTTCTTGGAGTTCCTCAAGGTAAGAAGAATGGACATCACAAAAGCCCTGGACCTTGGGGCAGAACCCATCAAGGGGTTAATCTGGTTGTGGTCTGTCGGCAGCCTGCGGAGATGGCAGCAGAGTCAGACAGTGTGGGGGGGAACATGGGCCAGTCCGGGAGTCTGGGGAAGTCTCGGAAGAGGGTCCTGCGTCCGATACAGTGATGGGGCCAGGGCCATCTGTGCTGACTCTGGAACCTCCAGAATCTGGCAGCAGCGAGGCAGAGAAATAAGGGGAGCCTGTTCCCAGTGTGCATGCTTGCGCAGAGCTGCCAGAAGGCAAGAACAGTTAAGACAAAAGGGGGAGACTCGGGAGTAAGGCTTGGAAGCGGTTGGCCCTTCCATGAGACATAAAGGAGGAGCAAAGGGACAGGAGCCTTTGCAGGAAGCAACTTTGTTCACACTGGTCGGTTTGAAACCTGACGCTCGATATTGAATTTGTGCTCGATGTTGAATTTGTGCTCCAGTTGTATCACTAATTGGAAATTTAGTCGTTGGCAGCACTTCAAGGGAGGTAAAGGTGCGTGCTTATCAAACTTATCCTGAAGGACTTTGGCAGGCTTCCGTGGGACTATTTACAAACGGTTTGAGACTCATTGCAGGCTGTGAATGACTAAAATTCGCAGCCCTTGAAATAAAGAAAAAGGGGTTTGGGACTAACGTGTGTTTGTTAGCGTCTCAAGAAGCCTTGGTCAGAACAAATCTTAGTTTAGGGGTCATAGAGTTTCGCCATATGCATGATGGTTATCTCTCCATCCCTTAACCCATCTGAAGTTCGACGGATGAAGGCGTCTCCTCTTGTCCTTGAAGTTTCAGCTATTGAGATGGTGACGGCGGTTTCGATGGGTTAGGAAAGCAATGACTGGAATGAAAGATAATTGGATTCGTTAACTAATCCATTCTGCAGCTAAATTGCATTTGAATATGAATGGGTCGTGAGGATCTAACGGGGATAATGAAAAATTGTGTTTGCTTTCTGCCATTGAGTTTAGAAGTATACAAATTAATAATTTGGGTCTAATCTCTTGCTCCATTCATTCGGGGCTGGGTTTTGTTTTGTTTTTGATAAACAATGGAGAAATATGCAAAATTGGATGCAGCTGAAGAGTTTCTGGATCCAAAGCCCACTTCAGGGTATAGTTGTAGAGTAGAACGGTTTACTCTCCATCCCACCCTGAATTCATTCATTTGGCAAGATGGGATTGTTGATAGATAGATAGAATTCTTTATTGGCCAAGGGTGACTGGACACACAAGGAATTTG